CCCACGGTTCTCGCCGCCTCCCCCGAGTAAGTAGAGTTCGGAAGCGGGCGGGCTGGGAGCGGTCCGGGGCGGCTGCGACCCGGGCAGACCGAGGGCAAAGCTGCGCGGGCGGCCGGGGTTTTCCTGTTGGTTTTACCCTGCCTGGCCCCTCCTGGCACACTTCTCCCTGTCGTTCGCACTGTCTCCTAGGCCACTTCAGCCCGTTCAAATTACTGAACGGGTTCGAGTGTGTGCGAAGCCAGAGGATAGCTGGGAAGGCATAGGAAGAGCGGCCGCGCCAGGGTGAGGTCTTGTGACAAATATTAATAGAAAAGTAAAATCAGCCCGACCGGCCTATTAGTTTGACCTGGATCTCGAACTGACCACGCAAATCTTGACTCAATCTCAGCGGTGTTTTCTCAGAAAATGGCTCAAATAATTCTGTAAGGACCCCCATAGATCGATCTCCTGGGGGCGGGAGCCTTGCGGTCCTCAGCCCCACCGGCTGCCGTCTCAAGTGTTGCATGTCCGAAGTCTGAAGAGCCACAATTGCTAATGTTTTCCTGCTTTAATACAGAGTTATCTAAATTAATAGAAGTAGCAGCGGGAGAGGTGGGACGAGAAACGCCTGTTAATCATCTCCAGCGGCTGCGCTGAGCCCGGGTCCAGAGATCCCGGGCTGCCTGCCCTTGGCCTGGTCGCGCTCCGTCCCCACTCCGGATCCCGTGGAAAGGAGCGAGCTTGGGCTGAGGCTCTCCTGAGTGTTTAGGGTGCCCGTAGCAAAGCTGCAAACAGAGCTATTTTCTCTGTTCTTTGGAGGAGGGCAGGTTTTCTGAGGAGTTGTGTAGAATTTAGCAGCGGTTTAATTTATTTAAATTGCAAAGTAAAAGTTGTTATTGCTAAGTAAACCGGGGACAGATGGATGTTGAGGATCCTTAGAAATGTTAAATAAGAGGAGAGGAGCGGACCGGTGAAGAGCGGTAGATAGAGCCTGAGTGTCAATGCAAACCTCGTAATTAATTACATGCTTAATCCGGTTCCCAGGGGCCTAATGAAGAGGGTGTGAGACTGAGAAGCCAGCCTGTTTTGTTTATTTTTTTTTCCTTTAATCCGATAAAAAGGACAGGACTTCTTTTTTTTTTTTTTTTTTTTTTGGAGGGTCATTCCTTTAGTTTATGACTCCTGTTCATGAGCCGGGATCCGTGAAGGCAGGAGGTGGAGGGTGTGTGGGTGCCTGACTCCTGCCCTTTGCCGAGTTTTTTTCCATGGATTTGTTGGAGGCTTTCCTGTTACGGACACCCACTCTCTTTACTGGAACGGGAAATGGCAATTTGAAGTGTGCCCCAGGCAGCCCTGGAGGATTTGGGACACTTTCCTTCGAGTGGTACCTTATTGCCTTCCTCTCTTCACCCCAGTTGCAGTGGGGTGGGGGCTCTGCGGGCCGTGGGGTTTTGGGCGCTGCTAACCGAGATGTCTCTCTCCTTCCCCTCTCCCCCGGCTGCTCCCGGCACAGGGCGGCTGAGCCCTCCAGCCTGCACCCTGCGCAAGCACAAGACAAACAGGAAGCCCCGGACGCCCTTCACCACGGCACAGCTGCTGGCCTTGGAGAGGAAGTTTCGGCAGAAGCAGTACCTGTCCATCGCCGAGCGTGCCGAGTTCTCCAGCTCGCTCAGCCTCACCGAGACCCAGGTGAAGATCTGGTTCCAGAACCGCCGCGCTAAGGCCAAGAGGCTCCAGGAGGCCGAACTGGAAAAGCTGAAGATGGCAGCCAAGCCCATGCTCCCGCCCGCTGCTTTTGGCATCTCCTTCCCGCTGGGCGGCCCGGCTGTGGCCGGTGCCTCTTTGTACGGCACCTCCAGCCCTTTCCAGCGGGCAGGGCTGCCTGTGGCTCCTGTGGGACTGTACACAGCACACGTGGGATACAGCATGTATCACCTCACATAGAGCCTGAGCCTTGCTGAGTCCAGCCCGCTGGCTGTCTGTTCCCGCTGATGACACATGCGCTCCCTCCCTGCTCTTCTCTGTGGACTTCCCCATGGACCCTGTGGCAGAGACTCCTCCAGTCCAGCTCTGCTTGACCTCTCTGCTTTCCTCTCTGACGCTGGGCCCCTGGCCCAACACTGTTCTGCTCTCCTCAGCAGTCCTGGGGAGCTGGCAGAAGCCTGAAGCATCGCCCCAGCTCCTTCCTGACACAGGGTGTTGATGGGCCAACCCTGCTCTGTGTCCCTGGGGTCCAGCTGGCAGCCTGGAGAGAGTCCCCTGCATGGGGTAAGGAACTGTGGAAGAGAAACAGAAAAAGGGGACTGAAAGACAGGACGTTTCTCTTACTTTCTGCAAGGCGAGGTCAAGAGGCAGAAGTGTAGAGCAGCCTCTCCTGTCCCTGTGTAACAGCGCTGTCTGTTACCTGTCTTTGTTCCTCCGCCAGCTCCTTTGGAAGGGGCTCTGTGTACTATGTAATATACTGTATATTTGAAATTTTATTATCGTTTATATTATAGCTATATTTGTTAAATAAATTAATTTTAAGCTACTGTTTGATGCAGTTTGTTTGCTCACTTCTTGCCCTGCCGGGGGTGACAAAAGAGATCAAATTTGTGTGTCAGGGGGACAAGAGAGAGGGACTGGCTCTACTAGCCAATTTTCCCTCTTCTCCAGGAGACTTCAGCTGGAGGGATGGTGAGATGCAGCAAGTTGAAAGTTAGGCCGATGTATCCTGGAACTGCCCTGTCCTCACAGCTGTCTGAGATTTCTTCCTTTTCCCCCTACTGCACCTCTCCAGCATCAGCTCCCACCGTATCCCTGCCCTGAGGGTGCAGGTGACTGCTACTACTCCCCAGCATAGCCTTGACTTGGCTTCCTTAGCCTTAGGAAGGAGAAAAGACGTTCCTCTCCCTTCCACCTGCCTCTGTCCGGGAAGCTCCCGGCTGTGGCCCTCCTCGGCAGCTTCGGAGACCTTGAGGGGTGGTGTGAAATGTCCCACACCTCAGTGTCAAGCCTAGGGAGAGACCAAAGGCTTTCCTCAGAGCTCCTTTTGGCAGCCGGTATTGCTCAGGGAAAGGGAGCACCAGGATTTGGGGCGATGGGGAAATAGGTCTGTCGCGGTTGGGGTGGTGCTGGAGAAGGGGATAAAGCACTTTAATAAGCGGGGTAGCGGCAGCGCCGGAGCCGATGGGGGTGGGTAGGGTGCGGGTTGTGGGGGTAGGATGTCGGGGAAGGTGGTGTTTAGGCACGAGTACAGGTCAGGCAGCCGGGGGGACCCGCGGGACTGACGGTCGGGACCGCTCGGCGCCGTCTCTCCTGCCCATCCTTGTAGCTCCGAGCGCCCCGCAGGCCATAGTG